CGCAGGTGACGCGTGTGTGAACAAAGGGACAGCCATCACGTCCTGTCCGAACATTGAGTCAGGACCAGGCCCCGAAGGCAAGGCCGACGGTTCTAAAAATGAGGACTTGAACCCGCCTCTTCGCCGGAACATTTGCACTTTTATCCTTAACTCTTGACACCGGAGATTTTAGTTCTGACCTGGGACTCCACCACAATTTCCTAAAATCCTTGGCACACCCCCTTTTCGCACTTCCCGGCCCACTAACTCTTCGAAACAGGAAGTCGCGCTGAGTGTAAGGTTGGTATCCGAGCCGACACGTGTCAAGACTAAGGATTGACAAGTGGCCCGGCTCCTCCAGTCAACTAACCTAGCGAGTCCTAGGCGAGGACGAGCTAGACAAAGAAATGCGCTGGTGCGCGATCCTATAGTAACCAGAAGCCGCTCTACTGGAAGACGGACGGATAACATGAACGCCAATCAGGCGCAAGGACGGGCGAACCAACCGAACCTGGCCCCTCCACAACCCCCACGAGTTCGCGCCCCTGCTGCTCCCCCCGATCTATACGTGTTTGATCCTGCGCATCACTTAGCCGGAGCATGGCTTGCCACACTCGGAGTGCAACAGTACGATAACAACGAACCCAGGATCAATGTCCCCGCTCGTTTGGGCGGAGACGCACACCATTGGCTTAGCACATACACGTGGGTCGATCTCCCGACATTTGAAAGAGATTTCCTGCACCGGTTTGATTACATACATCCAGAACAGGTGTTCTTTCTTATCAAAGATCGGGTGCAGAATCCTCTCGAATCCGTGGCAGAGTACCGTAGTTGATTCTATAGATTATTTGTAAGATCTCAGAGGGAAGAGACGGTGCGTAGGGAATTTTTAATTGACGGGCTCAGAAGCCGAGCCATGAGGGCGCAATAGTAAAAAGAGTTTTCCCCCATTACCCATAACCTGCAACAAATAATGGATGCTGCCGAGGAAATGGAACGGAAGCTCGCCGCCAGTTTCCTCGAAGGCGAGGATCATGCAAGAGTGGGGGACACGTCCGAACTTACCTGAGCGCGAATGGAACTCGCAGCGCTACAGAACAAATTTGGAAATATGGGCTTTGTCTTAGGTCATGTCACCTACCTAGAGCCAGTCGGGGTCCAGAAGCTGATGGCCAACGTGGCCATCGGACCTCATGTTGTTGTCACTCCTGAGGGCCCTCAGGCCATGAAAGCTGAGGAACCAAACACTATTCTCGAGTTGACAAGAACGTTGGTGAACCTCATGCAGGAAAGTAAGAGGGAGCAGCGGGAATATAATGCCCGAATGGAAACAATGCTCCGCTCGATGCGCCCCATTAAGGTTTGAGCCACCCCCATGGGAACTGAAGTTGTGCAGGCGGCAGGTGCCGTCGCGGCAGGAACGACTGCACGAATTAACGGTTGCTACATGTGTCATCAACCCGGACACAGCACGGTAATGTCCCAACTGACCCGCACAGGCAAGAATTGGGGCTGCGCCAACGGCCGCAGCACCAATAGCTAATAGACCAGGACGGGTAGCAACGATGGTAGAGGAGACTAACAGCGGGGCAAGCACATTGGGTGTTACGGAGGAAGTAGCGGAGCTTATTCCGCTCGACCAATACCTATCGTTAGGATACCCGGGCCTCGGAATGATCGGGGCCATCCAACCTGCCGCCGACATTAACGAAGTTTCAGAATGGAGACCCTCCCTGAGCGAGATGGAATCGGGAGGACCTGCGTTCATCACGGGATGTGCTAGATATAATAGGAGCCCTGGATCACCGCATCCCCTTACCTATCAAACATCTCTTATCCATCTCCGAGCAGTCTAACGACCGAATGTTGCAGCACAAGGCAAACCGGAAACGGTTTGCCCTTGTCAAACTAGCTGTCGCGAAAGGGAAGGCTCCCGCTAAAAACCCGAAGCCAGATGAGCCAAGCACATCGGAACCAATCCGGATGGGCCTGATCCGGAAAGACGATTACGCCCTATGGATTAAGGCCATACCTTGGAGATCCGCGGAGTGTGACGTGGAAGTATGGGGAAACCCCTACAGTGCGGTTATCGATTTCGGAGTCGTGGTCCTAGCTGTCTGACTGCGGGTGGTTGAGCGAGCAGGAAGACAGACAGATGTGATTCCGCTTGCGGAGGGCGATCATTTCATTTTCGTCGATGAAGGGAAAATTCGGGCTGTAGGGAGAATGACAAATGCCGCTTTCCAGATAGGAAAGGTCCATGCCTTAGGAGATGTTGTGGTCTTGAATGTGGTCAATCATCCTCAAAAATACGAGAGGAAAACCATACACCATTCCGATGCGCCTCACCCCTTGGACAACATCGACGTTTGTACGACAAACTTAACCTGAACCCGGCGAAACCGTGCGAATGATAGGATGGGAGGACTCCACTGATGAAGCAGACACCGAGTGCAACGAACTCACACTGCCATCATCCACATCCGAAAGTGAGGAAGAATCAGATCCTCATATTCTCGAGATGGAACGACAGATAGTGCGTTACCCACTTTGACAGAAAATGACAAGAACCTTCGTTCTCACAAAAAACGTTCGGCGAACTTGGGCACTGATCATGGGAGAACCATTGGTGTAGATATCTAGGATGGCCGACTCTTGGGAACCCCCTCGGACCATATACGAAGCGGCCACCCCGTTGCTATCGAGGTACCATGACAAACGATCTTTCTGCGATATCTCGAAGATTTTCCCCAGTTTGTTGCTCACGACCGGAAAAGAAATCCGGTTGTTACAAAGAGGCGCCGAGAACCGGACTTCGCAACCCCCTGAGCTATACGACCTTGCCCCATTCAATATTGGAATAAGAATCGCAGAGAGAATTGTGGACCCTTGGGATATCGAGGACAAAATTACCCCGGAGGGACACGTGGCAATCAGGGAGGAGCAAGCTCATATGGTCGCCACAGTCTTTTCCCAGCGTTCTGACAATTCGTTTATATCATCCCCACCTACGAGGAAGACCCCTGCTACCCGGATGAAATAGTTACCAATAGCAATACGGGACTGTCATTACGAACTGCATGTACCGGAATATGTGCCTGACAAAACACACCAACTCATTGCTAACATTTTGTTAGAATATCAGGAGGCGATTAGCGTGGAGGATGCAGACATCAGGTCTTGAATTCCCTATGGAGAGCGTAGTACGATGAAAGTTGTATGCTACGTTCGGGGGGAAGTAATTGCTAATCTGCTCTTTTAGCCGGTATTTTAATTGAAATTAATCGTTTTTTTCCAGATGCATTAGTTTTTCCTTATTAAAAGAAATCAGTCATACAGCACGAGATCCAAACCAGCACCCACCCGCCGATCCACTGTAAACCGTACCGATATTTGTTAGTTGAAAGACAAATGACCCTAGAGCAGATCCGGGAATTCGAGGCCAACGGCTGGATTGAGCCCGCCACAGGCCCATGGTCATTCACCGTGGTTTTAGTCCCTAAAAAGACCGGATCCGTTTGCATTTGCATCGATTGCCGGAAATTGAATGATATCACGATCAACGATGTGGAACCCCTACCCCAGATTGATATTTTGTTGAATGTGATTGGGCGTGCTAATTATTTTAGCAAGTTTGATATCCGTCACGGGTTCCATCACATATGGGTTAGGGAAGAAGATCGCTCGAAAACGATATTCGTATTGTTTGAAGGCACGGGGGAATGGGTTCGCTGTCCTATGGGTATTTGCAATGCTCTGGCTACGTTTCAAAGGGCAATGAACGTGACTTTTCAGAACTTCGTTAACAAGACTCGACTGACACAAGGAATGGTGAACTTTTGTGTCATCGTGTACATGGACGACATCCTGGTGTATTTGGAATCATTTCACGGACATGCACAACATATCGAATGGACACTTGGAGCGTTGCGAGATGCGGGCTTCAAAATCGCTCTAGAGAAAAACGAGTTTTTCCTTTCGGAGATCCCGTTTCTTGGGTACGTGGTAACTCGGGGAGGCTTGCGACCGAACTCATGAAAAGTGGACACGGTTCGGGACGGGCCTACACCTACGTCTCTGACGTAGGTTCGGGCCTTCCTACTACCGTAGATTTATCAAGGGCTTTGCGACAATCGCACGACCCTTGACCAATCTTCTGCGAAAGGACCAACCGTTAACCTCGGACGAGGAATGCGAACGGGCCTTCTCCACCTTGAAGGAGGCCCTAGCCTCCGCTCCCATTTTAATTCGCCTGGATCCTGGGAAGCCGTTCATCCTCAGCATGGACTGGCAGCCTGAAGCGATTTCCGCCATCTTGGCACAGAAGGGGAAGGACGGTCGCGAGCACGTTGTTGAGTACGCTTCCTGGACGATGCCAGACGAGCGGAAGAACGATTCGGCGCCTCAGGGGGAATGCTACGCTGTGGTTTGGGGCATCGAACATTTTCACCCAGACCTGTATGGGCAAAAGTTCCTTCTCGTCACCGATCACGAACCGCTGCAGGCGCTCAAGAAGTCGACTAATTACACAGGAATGATCGGGCGATGGGCGGTATGATTGCAGGAATACGATTTTGACGTAGTCCATCGTAAGACAGAGAAACAAGGGAATGAGGATGGACTGACACGTCTGCACAGGCTGGGCAAGGTGCCGAAGGTCAGCTGTGGAGGCGAGTCTTTGGAACTCGGTAATCCAGTCCTGACTGAGTAGCGTGTTCTGATGGAGCTTGTTGAGCTTGTCCATCGCTTGCAGGTCGGGCGGCTCCACTTGGAATCGCTTGTGCCAGGCATCAGTCAACTCCTGCCAAGTGAGCTTGGTGTGCAGTTCCGACACTGCTACGCCGTGGCTGGTCAAGATGTTGTCCAACCATGCTTGACATGCACCACCAGATCGGTGGTACAAGCACGGATGTCGATCGTTGTTCGGGACATGGTGCATGTCGAGCCTGAGAGTAAACTGGCGCCACCACGGGATCGGTTCCGTCTTGGACTATTCGCAGAAGACGGGAATGTCATCCAGCTTGGGTGGGCGCCGGGAGGGTGCGGCGGCGGGCGTCACAGTGGCATCAGCCTGGACCTGCGTCTCCAACTGCAAGTTCGTTGCTTACTGCGACGTCCGGAAGTCCTGATGCACACGCTTGATGTTGCTGACGTCATCCTCCAAAACTTGCACACGGGTGGTAAGGGTGGAAGGCCCTGCGGCTGCTACAGTAGCTGGCTGTTTCTCCAACGCCTGCAGCCGTGCGAGCATCTGGTCCACTGTCTGCTGCAGGTGAAGGATTTCCTCCTGCTGCAGAGCGCAGGTGGCCACGAGGTCGTGGGAGACCTGCGCAAGGGCTGACAGCCCTTTCTCAGTCTCCGGGGCCCCGTCCGCAGATGTCACTTCCACCCAATGTGCGGCCTCATCGTCGATCACGGTCTCCCGCGTGAACAGTCGTTCCCGCTGGCGTGACCGGTGTTCGGCTGCCGCCTGCAGGTCTGCCTCTTCTTGACGAAGTCGGTCCTGTTCCTCCTTCTGTCGCTTGGCCTCTGCCTCTTCTTGACGAAGTCGGTCCTGTTCCTCCTTCTGTCGCTTGGCCTCCTCCTCTTGTTCGAGCCGATTACGTTCCTTGGCCGCGGCGGTGGCCCTATTGTTGGCCTCCTGAATGAATGCCGCCAGGCGTTCCTCATAGGCCAGGAGGGATTCTCCCGCCTTCCGGTCCATGGCCTTGGTCTGTGATCGAGTGAGCAGTGACATGCACTGCTGTGCCCGAAGTCTGAAGAGTCACTCGAGGGCCAATCTGATGGACTGGCCCAGTACCCGGACTGGAGGGGGAGGAATAGGTAGGAAGCAGACAAGTGGGAAGGATCGGACAGATCCCAATTTGAATAGTTTCCTAATCCAAAAGAAAAAAAACAAAACTTTAAAATTCAGAAAAAGTCTGTCCAATCCCACTGAGTACCGAAGGTGATGCAGAAAGCAAATGTGAACCTTCGGTGCTCGGACTGCAGAGAATCAGAAAAGAAGGGTCTTTATAACTCAGAGTAGGAGTAGGTTGCAAAAGAAAAAAATGCCGTTTTTTTTTTTTTTTAGAAAAAAAAAGAACGGAATTGGCAGATCTACGCAGTGAAAGTGTAGAGGGACAGTTTCGGAAAAAGAATCGCGAAATTATCAAAATGCAGACATTTAACAATTAAACAAGGTAAAAAAAAAAATTCTCGGAAAAAGAATTCTCAGAACGAAAAAAAATTCTCGGAAAAATAATTTTTCGGAAAAGAATAAGAATTTCTCGAAAAAAAAATTCCTGGAAAAAGAAAGAATTTCTCGGAAAAGAACAAAATTCTCGAAAAAAGAAATGATTTTTCGAAAAAAATAAATAAATAATTAATTCCGGGAATTTTCCAAGATTAGATAAACAATTGCCAAATAATCAATCAACTTAATTAATCAATCAATCAATCGATCAATCAGTCAATCTCATATGATTGCTGGTTGATTGATCGATTGTTCGATCAATCTCCTGATTGACTGATCAATCAATCGAAGATTGATTGCTGGCAAACCGCCAATCCAATCAATCAATCGATTGATTGGTTGTTGCCAAGATTCATCGCACTAGCTCCGATACCACTTGTARCATATCAGAAAGTGAAATGCACTGATAGCTTAGGATCTAGCAATGACGAAAGTGGCAACAACCAGCAGCATAGGTGCAACATTCACAAGGTGTCAATGTGCGCGACGCAAAGAGTGAAACAACGGGAAATCAATAACAACACATTCGTATCATCATCATCATAGGCTGGGAATCAGTGCAGCGGAAGATCTAGTATCAAAGGACACGTGGACAACAACATGAAAGGGAGAAACTTCGGAAGGGCAAGACACCAGAAAGATTGCCCTTCCGCTCACACACATGGGGAGAGATCCATAGACATGCGAGAGAGAAGGGGGAGGGACATAGAGGTAGCCAAGTCCAACCCAAGTCTGATCTCCGAATGTCGCACACAGTTCAATCCCAATGTAGAGTGTAAGTCCGATCTGAATGTCGTGTCCAATAAGGCAGAAGGCCGTGTCCAAACAATGTATGCAGTTACCTCTATCTCTACTCTGATAAAGAAGAAGAAGAAGAAGAAGAACTTTGGAGGAGTAGGAGGAGAAGAGGAGAGGAGAAGAAGAAGAGGAAGAAGAAGAAGAAGAAGAAAGCTGGGTGCTTTCTGCACTTACCTGGCGATGGCTGAACTTGCAGGTACCGCGGAGCCAGCTACAGCGCTGGGCAGGTAAGTCCTCTTCTCTCTCTCTCTCTCTCTCTCTCTCTCTCTCTCTCTCTCTCTCTCTCTCTCTCTCTCTCTCTCTCTCTAACTCCTCTACCCTCCTCGGCGCTGGACTCCTCCAGCGCTGTGCCTCATGGCCGATGAGCAGCGCAGCTGCAGTCTCGAAATGGCGCAGCAGGGAGTCTCCAAAATAGCGCAGCAGCCAAGTTCCTGAACCAGCATAACGCTGGATTTTTCCTGGTACCTTCTATGTCCGAACTGGGCAATGGCCCAGCTTAAGTAGTGCTGGGCCAGGACTGAAAACCCACAGCCTGCGTTCTGGACCGTGCAAATCGAAACTCCGATCCACGGTCCAGATCGCAGGCTTCGAAAACGGGTTCAGTCCTTGGCCTAAAACGGCCTGCCTGGGTCCCTACCGGACATCCAGGCCCTGTCCAGGATTAATCTTCCTGGTACCTGGCTTCAAACCGGTCCTGTGCGGACGTACCCGGCCTCAACGYCGGCCTGGGTTCAAACAGGTCAAAATCTGTTCGAAAACAAAAGAAAAGGTCCAAACGTTTTTAGGAGCTCAGCCTCTGGGCCTGAATCTGGCCCTGGCCCTAGAAGCGTGTACCTGGCCACAAAACAGACAATAGTACACCTGTTAGAAAAACAGCAGCAAATAAATAAAATAAAGACTATAAAAATAATCTAAAGCTGGCGTTTTTCTGATGCAGGCCCAAGTAAAAATGCCATAGGGCCTTCACGTTGCGGTGACGCGACCTGGGGGCCCTATTCCAACCTCGGGTCCCGTGAGGGGCCCGTGTGTAGGCTTTCAGCATGTAACACAAGGCCTAGAAAAGACCCGACGACTTAGAAGGGTTGAGGTATGGACATATGTTGTCCTGATAGCTACGATAGCAGGAAACTCGCTCCGAGAATTCTCAAAGGAAGATCGGAGGCGGGCCAATGAGCGAGCAAGGGATTATAGGTGGAATGAAGGACGGTTAGAAAGAAAAAAACAGACGGGAGCGGAATCTGGATGTCAGTTCCGCATCTGTTCATGCGGTACGAGTGGGTCCAGGCAGCCCACGAGGAAACAACTGCACATTTTGCCGTAAGGATTATGGAGGCGGCTATTGACAAGAATGAATGGTACTGGTCGAATATCAAGGACGATGTTAAATTTATTGTTAAAATTTGTCCCGTCTGCGCGGCGGATAAAGCGTCGGTCGAACTCCCTAGGTCAATAGTACCCACGGTAGTCGAACGATCGTTCCAGAGAGTAAGCATGGACACGACGGATATCGTCGTGCCCCCTGGACCTAATAGCTGGGAATATTCAATTCTCCTGGTTTTCGTGGATCATTTCTCGAAATGGATCGAGGCCCACCCTTGTAGGACGAGACAGATGGCGGAGATAGCGCGGTATATCAACCGTTCCTCAGGATGCATCAGGATACCAAGGAAATCCTTACAGACAACGGAGCAGAATCAAAAGGAGAGGTCATGAGGAACCTGGTCCTTCATGGCGTCTCCATCCGTCATATCGCCCCACATATGTCACAATCGAACGGGCGTATAGAGAATGCGAACCGGGTGATCAAAACGGCGCTTCGACGAAACATCGCGGCCAGAGATACACGGCCCTGTCCCGATATCGTAGATCACATCTTGGCCATCCATGAGAGTGCCCCACACGAGTCTACCGGATTGTCCCTGTTCCAGTTACGGACCAACAGCCTAGCATGTGTCTCGGTACCGAGCCTAAATGATGAATCGACCCTAGGACGAGGGCCAACAAGGGCCACGGCCCGAGAAAAAGCCAAGCAACACCTGAAACTGATGGAACAGTCCCTCCCCCGGTTAGTCCAGAAGCGCCAGGGCATGATCGAATTGGCTCACACATGCCAGGTCTGTAGCTACGAGGCCCGAAATGGGAATGCGGGTCCATGGCCCCAGTATAAATTAGGGGGCATAGTGCAGGTGAAGAAATGTGCTCGCCAGGGAAAATTAGCGCCACGATTCTTCGAGCGTTTCCACGTGATCGAGCTCGGACCCAATGGCGTGAACACGGTGCGCCTAGCTCTTGAGGTGTCGGGTAGCCGATCCGCCCGCCCCATCGTCCGCCACGTGTCCTATCTTCGTCGTATGTCTGGTTCCTCTCCCCCATCTTCTTCTGAGTCTCTCGCGTCCTCCGATTAGGAAGAAGGCGAGCCTGATGATCTTCTCCATCTCTACAACCCCCATCCCCTACTCCGCCTACGTTGCCATGAGCTTTTCCACGGAGCAGGTACTCAACGAGCATATGCTGGCAACTGGGAAGCACATTTTGGCAATACGGCAGGTGCATCATCCGCGTCTCAGTCTGGATCTTCTACGATTTGCACAATTCTTCAGCATGGCCAGTGTACATGCGATGGCCGAATTCTGCTTCGTGTAGGAGAACAGCCAATCTAGGGTGTTGGCCGAGGCATCAGCGTTCGTACGACTCTCTGTGTCGGGTACCAGCCACATCTCGGTGATCGTTTCCTTCACTGGGGACATCACCACGGTTAATGAACGACTATACCCGACTCATCTATCTTCTCTACAGGATTGGGCATCCGATCTGATTGAAGCCTGATTGAAGCCTGCATATTGCTCCTCACACGGCAGGGAGATAACGTGGTGGACAGCAACAACATCGACATCCACGGGATACGGGCTCGGGGGTCTGAGCTAGAGGTAGTCCTTCCCGTGCTCATCCCCTTTGTGCGGCCCCAATGAGTGCCCATCGCTTCTCGCTCTTCAGCCTCCCTTCTAACTTCCCTCTCTTCTGGCAATCGACACTCCTCCCTTGCCTTTTTGCCCGCGTGCGCCAACTCAAAGTCCCTCTTCTGGATGACGAGCATTGGCAGGATTGGTGGAGTGATTACGCAGCGCTTTCTTTGTGCCTCTGGAAATCACCTTCCGTTGGCCAACGTTGACGCAGGGTCGGAAAAAGGAGAAGGCGAAGTGGAATTGCTCGTCGTGCAGTAGTGGAGGACGGACGTAAAAGGCGATCTGCTGGGGCTAGTTTTCGGGACAGTGGAGAAAGATCATCTCCCCCAAGTCTACGGAGAACTGCTGGTAATGCTGACTCAGCTTGTCGATGATCTGCCACTGGACATCATCTCGTGCCATGACGACAGCCCCGCGCCACACATCTTAACAAGGAGTTTGGCGTCGTACCTGCAGTGGCCGGCGTGCCTGGAATCAGATCCGGATAATTGCTATTACCCCTCGACTGGAAACTATCTAGAGATCCAAGAGGTGGTTAGCGACTTGGTCTACGACTGCGGATATCTGACTGCTCCTACGTCCGACGAGGAAGAGAGTTCGAAAGAAGAAGAGGAGGGAGGCAGCACTGAGGAGGAGTCCATTGAAGACCAGGGTGGTGAACATACCAAGGAGGAGCCAGAACGATCTAGCGGAGAGGAGGACGAACGGGGAGAAGAAGGCCAAGGTCGGCATGAGGAAGATCCCGCCGCCATAGAATGGAAGCGAAAGGAGATCGCCGAGGGAAAACGGGTGATCGACCAGGGTGTGGGACCAGCGTCGCGGTCACCATGAGATGATCCCACACGGGATCCGAAACCGTGAAGTGAAGAAGATGAGCAGCCTGGCAGCACAGCAGCAGTCGGACGCAGTACGCGACGATGACGAAGCCGCT